CAATAATATCCATTTTTAAAAAAGCAAATGTCAAAAAAAGCATATATACAATTACAATTATTTTTCTCAAATAGGAATAAGATTTTTTCAAAAAAATGAGTTAGTTTGAGCAAAAAGGAATGGATTTTAATACTGGAGAGGAAAACATATGAGTTTAGACACCTGGAAATCCACGTCTACCTTGTAAAAGAAACTTTAAAGACCAAAGATTTAGAATTTAGATTCACTGGATTCTCTAAAGTGAAAGAGCACAGCCTCTACATTAATTCATCAACCAGGTGGCAGTGTTCTGATAAAATCTACTGAGCCAATGAAACCATCTTTATGATGACAAAGCAAGACTAGTGCTGAATACATAATATAATGCAAGTCCTAAATATATCTAAATTAAGCCAACAGGAGCCAGCAAATCTCAGCAAATAATAGTCCTAGACATCAAGAAAATTAAACTAGCAAAATACATGGAAGCCTTGGGTTACAGACAAGGAATCCAATATGAAATCACAATTGTTTCATCAAAGATTATCTTCAACACTGGAAAAAACATAAGGTGTGACCTTCACTAATATTTCTCAAAGAAGGATTTTCTACATTTGGTTATTTTATTCCTTACCATCGTTCACATTTCTCACCATAAACCTCCATGATCCAGACTGGAATGTTTTTGACATTCATTTCTAGACTTGTGCTCAAGGTGTCACCTCTTACAAAGATTTTCTTCCCTGAATCCGTGCCTAGCCCTCTTAGTACTCTTGGCCTGTTTGGAACCCCTTGTATAGGCACCTGTCACATTCTACAGTTAGTTATTATGAGATAACAAATCATCCCCCAAATCGGTGGTTTAAAACTTGAGTTTCTGGGTCAACTGGGTGTTTCTGCCCATTTGAGCAGACATCAGCTGATCGCGGCTGGTTTGGTCACAAGATTGTCACTATGGATGACTGGGTCTTGCTGTCTAGTAAGGCCTCATTCACAAATTTATAAGCTGAATGACTCCTTACTACGATAACTAAATTATCTTCCAAATAGTGCTCTATCTGCTAGCTTAACCATAGTTCCCATGGTAAGACCATGGGGCTCCAGGGGAGAGTGGAAGCATGCAAGGACTCCAGATCGTAGGCACAATATCCTATCTATTACACACATTCAATTAGCCAAGATTCAGGGAGAAAAATAAAATTACTTATACATAGAAGAGCTAGAGAGACATTGCAGACGGTGTGAACAGAAAGGGAGGGAGCCAGGTTTGCTATCCATCTTCCACAGGCAATATGCTTCCCCTATATTTCATAATTCTGTTTTGTCTATTGTGTCTTCAGTATACTAGAAAGATGACAAGAAGGATGGATGAACATAGAAGGAGGACAAGGGAGGGAAGCTTATATGTAGTCTTCCATGTAATACATACCATGGTTCATTGGAGAAAGCACACTAATCCACAACAAAAAACAAAGAAACAGAGAAAAATCTTCTTTTAAGCTGAAACAGAGACTCCACATTCTGGTCAAGATTCTTTTAGAGTGAATACAAATTATATATTATGTATTAGCATTTTGACAAAGACGAACTTGTTAACCAAAAGCATAGCATTATTTTAACTGCACCAAATCTTTTTTTTTTATTATTTTTTTAATTGAAGTATAGTCAGTTTATAATGTGTCAAGATCTGGTGTACAGAATAATATTTCAATCATACATATACACATATATATTCTTTTTCGTATTCTTTTTCATTACAAGTTACTATAAGATATTGCATACAGTTACCTGTGCTATACAGGATAAACTTCTTGTATATCTATTTTATAT